TTTTGATTCTGAGACTGTGTAGATTCCTTTGTCTTTGTCTCTTTCCTTATTGCGTAGTACCTGACACCCACAATTTTTTTTTGTCTTTTTGAGGCAAGGTCTCACTATGTAGTTCAGGCCTTGAGCTCACTTTGTATCCCTGGCTGGTCTTAAACTTGCAATGATCCTCCTGCCTCAGCCTCCCGAGTGCTGGGATTGCAGGCATGAGCCAACCCACAATTTAAAGGAGCACAAATGTATTATGGTTTATTTCAATCCATGGTCACCTGGCTGCACGGCAGGGCAGCACGGCAAAGGGGCTTGACGGAGGGAAGGTGCTCACATGGCATGGCAGACAGGAAGCAGAGAGAGAACGGAGGAACCTGGGAGACAAACCCTTCTAGGCCATGCCCCCAGTAACCATATCTTCCAACTTCAAGCCAGCTATTGTGGCTGGAATTCATTCACCAGCCAGAAGCCCTGTTATGACTGCTTGAGTCTTATAGAGGACCTCTAAGGCTAAACCATGTCACCATGTGTGTGGAAACCATTCTCATAGGAACACAAGCCACTCCTCCTCTGGAACGAGGACGCTGCAGTGCAGTGGGCATCAATGGTGGTCGCATGTTTGGTTTTTCAGAAACCGCCATACTGCTTTCACCACGACGGTGTTGGTTTCCTTCCCACCCAGGCATGAAGGATGAGTCCCCATGTCCATGCAGCACCTGGGCTGCCCCTGGCCATTCTCATCTGAGAGACATGGCATCTCCTGCACAGCTGGTGATATGCTTACTATCCAGCTGTGTGTCCTTTAGGTGAAATGACTCTTGCTTTCACTCACGTTTTAAATAGATTGTCTGTTTTCCTGTTCTTTTTTGAGAATTTCTTACACATTTTGTGTGTTGAATATGTAGTTTTCATGTCATTTCTCCCAGTCTGTTTCTTTCTCTTATGTGCTTTAATTTTTCTTCAAGTACAGGTTCCCAAAAGACCTTCTGGATTTTAGCAAAATCCATTATGAGTTCTTTTTCATTTCTAATTGGATGGATTTAGATCTTTTCTTCTCTTATTTCTGGTTAAGATTGGTTAAGGGTTTATTTTGTTTATTCTTTTAAAGATAGCTCTTCTATTCACTGATTCTTTGTACTGTTTTTTAGTCTCAATTTCATGATTACCTTGCTAGTATTAGCTTTGGATTTGGATTGTTTGTCTTTTTCCTTTTTATCAGTACCGGGGATCGAACTCACAACTGCCTGCTTGCAAGGCAGGCGCTTATGCTGCTGAGGGATTTGGATTGTTCTTGTTTTAGTACCTTGAGATGCATCATGAAGTTATTTGTGCTTGCTCTGTTTTTCTGATGTGGACATTCACAGCTATAAACTTCCCACTTAGGTCTGCTTTCACTGTGTCCCATAAGTTCCAGTATGTTGTACTGTCATCATTTGACTGTAGCATCTCAGTTCTTCTGTGATTTCAGCTGTGATCCACTGATTATTCAGGAGGGTTGCCTTAGTTTCTGTTCTCGTTGCTGAGACAAAATACCCAACACTTAAAAGAGGGAAGGTTTATTTCAGCTCACAGTTTGTAGAGGTTTCAAGCCACAGTCAGCTGGCTCCAAGTCAGGGTGGCATAGCAGAGGAGAAATAGTAGATGGCAAGTAGGCAGGGAGTGCAAAGCAGCAGGAAGCAAGCAGCTGCAGCAGCAGCAGCAGAAGCTGCTCCCTTCTATCCCTTCCAGGCCACTCACCTTTCAGGTGGTGCCACCACACCCAGGATAGACCTCCCCATTATCCACACTCAGAACTATGCTAGATCAGTTAGTGGACTAATTCAGTAATCACTCACCCTTAATTCCAGCATCACACAACTTAATCCCAGCACCACACATCCAAGATCCGGCACCTCCCACAACTGCCACCCAGGAGCACGTGAGACTTTGGGGAGACATCTAGACACAGCCATAACAAAAGTATTGTTTAATTTCCATGTGTTAGCATAGATTCTGTGTATGGTGGATAAACTAATTTATTATTTTGTCTAGTCGATCTATTTGTGACAGTCGGGTATTGAGGTCCCTTATTATAGTTTATTGGTGTTTATCTCTCTCTCTCCCTCCCCCCCCCTTTTTTTTTTTTTTTGTGGTACCAGGGATCGAACTCACAACCTCGCGCTTACCAGGCAGGCACTTATGCTGCTGAGCTAAATCTTCAGCTCTGTGTCACTTTTTTTTTTTGGAAAATGCCTGTTAGTGTTTAGTTTATGAAATTGGGCATGCCAGCATTTGGTGCCTGCATATTTATAATTGTTATCTCTCACTGTTGAATTGGTCGTGACCTTCTTTGTCTGTTTTGATCAGTCTTGGCTTAAAGTCCACTTTGTCTGAAATTAGGATAGCTACTCCTGCTTTTTCTGGGTCCATGTGGCATGGAATATGGATTTTCATCCTTTGATTTTTAATCTGTGAATTCCTTTTTGAATCAAATGTATTTCTTATATACTGGATATTGTGTTTTGTTTCATGACCCAGTCTGCCAGTCTGTGTCTTTTGATTGGGGAACTGAGACCGTTCGTTTTGAAAGTTATTACGGAGAGGTACTGAGCTGTTGCTGCCGTGGCATTACTGTTCTGTTGCTGATTTTCTTTTCCCTTTTGCTTAGCTGGTCATCTTACCAGACGTAGTGATTCTTTCTGGTTACTGGTTTTAGTGTCTGTTTTTAGGATATCTTTGAGCATTTTTTTGTGGTGCAGTTTGGTGGTCGTGAATTTCTTGAGGCACTCCTTGTCATGGAAATATCTTACTTCTCCATCAAACTCATGGTGATCCATCCTGCCTCAGCCTTCTGAGTGCTATGATTATAGGCATGGGCCACCATGCATGGCTGACATCTGTGATTTTGAATGTGTGGATTTTTTTTTTTTTTTTTTGGCATCAGGACACATCCATGCTCACACTGATAAGCGAAGGCAGTCAGACCCCAGATCCATGCTGAATTCGGCACCAGTCTGTCACTGTGGGAACATAGTGTGGGGAGTCCTGAACGAAGCTGTCCCTAGCTGTTCTGAGTCCAGGTCAAACTGTTAGCATCCCTGGAGTGGCGTCTGGCTCTCTCCAGGGACGTGGTGGGCCTTGGCCTGGAACCCTTTACCAGTCATTGCCTGCCCAAGCACCCACCTGAGACCCAGTCTGCATCTTGTTAACAGGGTCCTTTGTAGAGTGAGAGTTTTATTTTTGATTAAGTCCTATTTTCAATTTTGCTTTTGTAGATTTTGCTTTTGCTGTTGAGTCTAAGAGCTCTGCCTGGCCCTAGATCTTGAAGGTTTCTCCCAGGGTTTGTCTACAAGTTCTGTAGTTCTCCATTTTGCACTTACACCTGTGACCCATTTTGCAGAGATTTGGATGTGTTGTGGGGCCATGCAGAAGGGCCCCTTTGGGTGCTGGTGGCGTCATCACAGGGCTGTCCCCTGCTTCATGCAGGTGGCGGGGCATGGCCTTGTGGGTTGCTTCTGGGTGCCCTGCTTGTCACCTGTTGCCAGTGCCACACTATACTGGTGGTGGGCATGCCAGGAGTGCTGCCTGTTGGACTTAACTCCCCAGATCGCTCAGATGACTCTCGCCTCTTGTTGACATCTGCTGACCTTCTCTCTTCTGCTTTGAGCATGCCCTGGTTCTTGGAATGGTTGGTTGGTGTTTTCTTGGAATTGGAATCTTTTTAACACACTATGAGCCTCAGGGTAGAGCCCAGGCCTTTTCCTGGGCCTCTAGCCACAGTGATGGGGCATGGCCTCGCCGTGCAGGTATGTCTAGCTCCTGCACTTGCTGCCTCCTCTAGGGTACCATGCCAGCAGAGAGAGGCCACTCCTGCCATGTAGCAGGGTCCCCCAGGGCCTGTGTGGTGGTGCGGGGAGGCCTTCGGTGGTAGTGAAACGGCTCTGAACCTGGTAGCATTGCAAGCGCCATCTGGCAGCATCTATACTTGAATTCCTGATGCAGCTTCACACTGGCTCTAGGTCCTTTTGGTGTCCAGCTTGGCTTATAATAGGCTCTCAGAAAACATGTGGAGGAATTAATAAATATAACAGCAATGCTTTTAAAACTATCAGGGAACCTTTCCCAAATAAAGGATCCCACATAGAACCTTATTTAACTTTTAGCAGTACACTTGCTAGAATACAGGGTTATTAGTTACTAACAAGTGGTCATCCTGAAAACTACATATTTTATGTATGTGATATATAAAACAAATGAGATCTGTACGTGTCTTAGTACATTTAATCACCATTTCCCTAAAAGCAATGAATTTTTTTCGACATTTATAACCCTAATTTATTTATGTATTAAGCAATATGTGGTTTTCAGATTTGGGAATCTTTTTCCTCACTTGCAGTTTGATAGGTTTCACACTCATAGATTGTTACTAGAGTCTTGCAGAGTGTATTAGAAATGTTTAGGAAGAGGAAACCCTTCAGTTTGTTAATGATTTGGTCACTGGGGTAATTATTCTTTGAAGATTTCCTCTGGTTCTCCTGCATGACTGGCAAGTGGGGTTAGGTTTTATCCGTGACATGTGTTTAGCCGCCACGGTGAGGTGATCTGGTGTAAGCTGAATTTCAGGGGTGTCAGTTCTTGATATGTGACTTCCCTTTGTAACCCAAAACACGGGTCTGCCCAGAGCCGAGACGAGATGATGGACCTGAGTCTCACCGAGCTATGGTTGGTTGTCGTGATGTGGTCTCTAGGGAGGTCCACCCTGCTGGCCCCGTGCTCCTCATGGCCGCCACACTGGCCTGGGCACAGGCCCCTTGTTGTGACCCTATGTCCTTCCTGTGCTGACCCTGTGTGTCAGGGTCCTCTAGTGACCCAGGCATCCGTCAGGAGATGAGAACCCAGAATGTCCCATCCTGCGTGGCTGACCTGACGTTCTTGTTTCACGACCTTTTTCTTTAACTGGCAGGGATGTTGTGACTATTCCCTGGGACAGACTCGCCTCCTTTCACCGACTCCTGTTTTCTTGCCTCTTTCAGACAGGAACTGTCTCCGCCTGTCAAGAAGCCCCCACAAGTGTCTTGCCATGGATGTAGAAGATGAAGAGAGCATGAGTAAGACCTAGGCCTACCACATAGTCCACATAGCTCGCGTCCTAGTCACGGTGTAGCATTTCGTAGGCGTGGTTAGCGAGACGAATTGGGGAACCGGCTGTTGGCATGGTGTGTTTCTGTAGATTCTGTACAGCAGGTATCAGCATTTACCATGGACGTCCCCCCACAGCGCCCGTCTAGGTTTCCCAGTCCTTGTTGCCGTGGGGCATCTTTGCGTTGGGAAACATCCCCTAAGTGCACATCCCGTGGCTCTGCAAGGTCTCCCATGTCATCGTAGTGAGGCAGCCTGGTCCTTGTGCTAAGTCAAGGATGCCCTTTGAGATGACTCAGATGCCTGTCGCTGGGCAGCAGTCTGTGTAGCTCCCCAAGGTGCCTGGCACTACTGAGCTTGGAGAAGAGGCCTCCTGTGTCCTGGGCCTCTGGAGACCCGCCACGAGTTGGGGCTGTGTGGACCGAGCCCCAGCCCTTTGCAGCCCACCCCAGTCCCAGGGCTGTGGGATGGGAAGCTCAGAGCCTGCACCTCTCGCTTCTGTTTTGCCTTCAGTTCCAGAGGGTGGCGGGTGCCCCAGGAAGGTCAGATGCTCCAGGAAGGGGGACACCTACTGCTGGGAGCTGCCTGGGGGACAGCGTCTCCTCGCTGGCACTGCACGTGACCTGCCTCAAGCTTCCCTCACAAGCCTTCTTCTGGAGTGGTTCCCACGCAGAGCCGGCTCAGTGCTCCTCCCAGGACATGGATGCAGCAATGGCCCTGGAGCGCTGCCACTCCATGGTGCCTGTGGACAGAGCCCTGGCTCGCCATGGTCACTGTGGACTTGCTTGGGGCTGTGGCGGAAGCACCTGCTGCTGACCTTGGCCTCGGGTGGTGTGGACCGCGCTGGCCCAGCTTGAGTTGCTCTGCGCCTGCAGGGCTGTTCCTGCTGCCGTCCGGAACGGCAGCCTTCCTGCTCTTGAGAGACTACAGACCTGGCTATGGGTGTCTGCCAGGCATCTGCCTATCATTTCTAAGAGCAAGAGTGAACTCAGTCCCAGTTCAGAGAACGGGGCTTACGCTGTAAGGTCATGCGCCCCAGGGTCCTTGGAGCCACCCAGGGGCTGCGGAGTGTGTCCCCAGCCCTGGGCCTAGTGACTTAAGCCTATGAAGGCCCTCCTGAAGAATTTTCTGGAAGATGAGCTGCTTGGTGTTGTTCCAAAAGTGAAATGCCAGGCCAATGTTTTCTTTCATTTTGAGAGCAACTAAAAATTTTACCATGGTAAACATACATCTCTCTGAAGGGGATTGCTGAGCAGTGCTGAGAGCCACCTCTGTGTTGGAGGCCTTGAGAGCAGGCCCTCCTTCTCTAATTCTAGCATTTTACTTTCCTTTATAATAGCCTCTTTCACGGAACACGGAACACCAGTGGTCCTTTAGAAGTGCCTAAGAGTTCAGAATCGCTGGACTGTGTCACAGTGTACTTTTCTTCTCATCACAGGACTGTTTGTCAACTTTGACGCTGGTTATCATTATGTTTGAAAAGAAAGGATTGGTTGTTTCAGAGGTTGTAAATACTTGATTAAAATGCATGTTAGAATATGCTTATTATTTGATTTTCCATGCTGGTAATTCTGTGTAGCCATGCAGTGAACGGGAAGTGGTGTCTGATGTGTGATGTTCTTTCTCCCTCCACTAATCTCTCGATTTTGTCTTGGTTCTACTTTCCTAAACCTTTGTTCCCTTGAGCACCGAAAGGAGTAACCTACCGGCCTTTTGCTGGAGGATGTTATAAATGAAAATTTAGCCAACATTCCGTCGCTTTGTGAACCGAGGGAAGTGGTGTGTGTGTGTGTGTGTCGAGGTTCCAGGTTTGCAGGGCTCTGTGGGGCCAGGCTCCTGCTTTGCTGTGGGGATAGGAGGACCCCAGCCCTGACCTTCGCAGCTGTAATGTCAGTGGCTGCTGACAGCCAGGATGCTGTCACCTTACCCTTCCCATGGGCCACACTGACAGACATTTTCAGGGTTTTCAGTTTGCTTAGCATAATGAGAAACTTCTTTTATGTTATGTAGTAGAAGCAGACTCTGAGCTATCATATTGGGGTGCTTGTTTACAATTTTAATAATTTTATAATTTTAATAGTATTCTGATTATTTAAAAGATGTGAATTTTTGGAAGCTACTGGTAGAGGTCTTTAATTACCTAAATATCAACAGCATTGCAAAATCCTAAGCCAGGTGACCAATAAAACTATAAGGAGGAATGATTTTTTTCTTTTAAAAAAATGCAGTAACTTAAAGGCAAGAGTGAACATTTTAAGTTTCCCCTTTAAAATCTAAATCATGTTTATTTTTTCATGCACTTTTAGAATCCTAAAATTATGTTTATTGATTTTAAAAATCAAGTGATGTAAACAGATTACTCAGGAAGCACGTCAGTTGTTGACTTTTAGAAAGGCTAAGCTGGAAGATGAAGTCATCACGCAATACGAGTTGCAGTCTGCTTGCAGCTCTAACTTGATATTTTGTTATTTTTTATCAAGGGACATAGTAAGGATTCTGAAATAGAAATAGTCCTCATATATAATGAAAAATCTTAAATGATATCAGGAATAAAGCTGTAGCCTTCAAAGAGAATTTCTAAAAAGTTGTAATACTTTACGTAATGATTAGCAATTCTCTGCAGTCGATTCATAAACAATCAAAAATGGCCTGGATTACTTGGAATATTCTAACCCCAAGGGCCTGGTTAGCCCAAGAGGTTAGAGGCCAAGCCTGCTCTACTGAGAGGTGTGCAGGGAAAGCCCTGGGCACTGCAGGCTGGTGGTCTTGCAAGGCCGGGGAGGAGGAGCACGCTGAGATGCGTGTCTGTCTGTCCATCCATCTGTGCACTGATGGACCATGCTTTATTTCATCAGATGTAGTAAGTTCTTCCGGATTCTTACTGCCCATCGTTTTGGCAAGCCTGAGGGAAGTACTGTATCTCTGGGCAGATTGGAATATTCTCAGTAGAAAAACCATTTTTCCTTTTTCTTTCTTTCTTTTTTTTTTTCAATGCTAAGGATTGGTTGAACCAAGGTCTTTGCACTGAATGTGTCCCCAGCTGTATTTTTGTTTCTGTTTGAGACAGGACTTCACAAGTTACTAAGGTGCCTCAGCTGGGCTGGAACCTGCTTTCCTGTTGCTTCCACCTCCCAGAATGCTGGGGTGATGGGCATGTGCACAATGCCCGGTTTGCCCCTGTTCATAGCTGAGGAGAAGCACTGTGGGCCATTATTCAGCCCCCTTAGCTGAGGCTGGCCGTCCTCTGGCCATAAGTCAGTTCTTGGGTTTGCCTGGAGGGTGGCTTGTGTACACACACACACACACACCACTGAAGCGGTCACAAAGAGGTAAAGGAATCTATAAATTTTGCATTTACAAGATCCTGCAACGAAGGCGTTGTAAGTTACTCTTTCTGGGCACCGCAGGTTCCAGCAGCGCAGATGTTAAAGAAAACCGCAATCTGGACAACGTGTCCCCCAGGGACAGTGGCACACCCGGGCCCGTGGAGGGCGCCCAGCTCACCCATGGGGGTGGTGGCGGAGGTGGCAGGAAGCGGCCGCTGGAGGAGGGCAGCAACGGCCACTCCAAGTACCGCCTGAAGAAGCGGAGGAGGATGCCAGGACCCGTGCTGCCCAAGAATGCACTCATGCAGCTGAATGAGATCAAGCCGGGTCTGCAGTACACGTTGCTGTCACAGACGGGCCCTGTGCACGCCCCGCGTTTCCTCATGTCCGTGGAGGTGAATGGACAGGTGTTCGAGGGCTCAGGCCCCACCAAGAAGAAGGCCAAGCTGCATGCAGCCGAGAAGGCCCTGCGTTCCTTCGTGCAGTTTCCCAATGCCTCCGAGGCGCACCTGGCCATGGGCAGGACTCTGTCCATGAACACGGACTTCACATCCGACCAGGCCGACTTCCCCGACACTCTCTTCAATGGCTTCGAGACGCCCGACAAGGCAGAGCCACCTTTCTACGTGGGCTCGAATGGCGATGACTCCTTCAGCTCCAGTGGGGACCTCAGCCTATCGGCCTCCCCAGTGCCTGCCAGCCTGGCCCAGCCGCCGCTGCCCGTGCCACCTCCCTTTCCACCACCGAGTGGGAAGAACCCAGTGATGATCCTGAACGAGCTGCGCCCAGGGCTCAAGTATGACTTCCTGTCTGAGAGCGGCGAGAGCCATGCCAAGAGCTTCGTTATGTCTGTGGTGGTGGATGGCCAGTTCTTTGAGGGCTCGGGGAGGAACAAGAAACTGGCCAAGGCCCGGGCCGCACAGTCTGCACTGGCCACCATCTTCAACCTGCACTTGGACCAGACACCATCGCGCCAGCCTGTGCTCAGTGAGGGCCTGCAGCTGCACCTGCCACAGGTGAGGAGGCTGTGTGAGCCACTCCCAGCCGTGCACAGGCCTCTCTCCTTAGCGGAGTGGTCCCTCCTCGGTCTGCTGTGGGGTGACCTTATTGGGTTGCATGGTCATGTGGCTACAGAGCAGCCCAGCGGCCACCTGCTGCAAGCCGGGGCACTGACAGAGGGGACTGCTGTGGGGCTGTCCAGGGTGGGCAGCTCAGGGACAGCAGGCGGAGGTCCTCAAGGGTGTGCAGTGTCCAAGTGCCTCACCGGGCTCAGGAAAGGGCCATGCGCCGTCCAAGGCGGTGACTGCATCTGCTAGGATCCAGGTCCCCTCAGCTTGTCCTTGTGTTACTGTCCTCCTGGTTTAGCATCTGTGTCCCAGAGCCCTAGGGCATTGGAGCTGTGCTCCTATGCCCATGTGGCAGCCCCAGGGTAGTTCAGGCATGGCGGCTTCTCCACAGGGGACTTGGGTGGCCTTGACAAGTCCTGTCCCTGTAGTTCCAATGTCTTTGACAGGAAGTTTCAGATGTACTGCTCGGGTGGACGCTGGCCCTTGCTGCTTCCTCAGGGACTCTTCAGAGGATGCAGGTCAAGTGTCCTTCTGCTGCTGGACTTGGGGGCAGGAGCAGGATTGTGACTCTGAACCATGCTGTTCCCACCTAGCTGTCCAAGGCCTGCTGTGTTCTGAGCCCAGAGGGCCCGTGGTGGGGCTCCAGTTGGAAATGTGTGCTGCTTTTGTTACTGTGTCTGCTGACAAGTTAGAGGCGCACCAGCTGATAAACCGTGAAGATCAGGAGCCACCTTGGGGTGTGAGCCTGGTCCTCCAGGGACATTAGCATGGGGGCTGCACTGGCCATGTGACCCAGCCATCCTCTCCCTAAACATGGTGACACCCCTGCCCTGCAGATCACAGGGACTATTTCTGGGCTCACCTTCTCTCTTGGCGCTCTCCTATTATGTGTGAGTTCAGTACTCTGTCCTCCACCCCAGCCTACATCCTGTCCTGCCTGCTCATGTCACTGAGGTCCCCTGAGAGTGCAAGGACCCTGGCTGCCACCTGTCCTGCTGTGACAGCCCCAGCACCCAGGGGCATTTGCAGGTCCAGGGTGGGAGAACTCTGCAGTGACTTTGTCCCCATATAGGCAACCTTGGAGTGAAGGACATGTTTATCCCCCCAGAAAATGTTTCATTAGCAGCCAGCTGGGGGCATTTAGTTTACCAGTGGCCATTTGACTGTCTCACAAGTGGGAGGAGTAGAGGCCGAGCTCTGCTGTTCACCTGCCTGGGAGCAGCACCCCTGCCCCAGGCTCTAGTAGTGTTGAGCTGTCTCCAGACTCACATAGGAGCACAGCTGTGAAAAGCACACCCTGGGGTCCTGAGTCCGGGCATGCATGCCACCCCTTCTGGAGGAAGGTGCGGCCTTCCTGTGCCCTGGTGCCAGGCGCTGTGCTGAGCTGGGCAGTTTAGGTACACAGGCATGTCAAGGGTCAGGTGCCTTCTGAGGCCACTGTTGTTAGGGTCCCCCAACCTTTGCGATCTGGCCTTGAGCAGTTGAGGGGGTCTCTGCTAGGAAAGCCTCAGGGAACATGGCACAGTATAGCCTGGCAGAGTGACACGGGCACAAGCAAGCACCACTTGGTGCCTCTGTTTCCCCATGTGGGGCAGGTTGTGGGGGGCCTTACACTCCATGGGTGTTAGTCCTGGAGTCCATGCCCAGGACCCCAGCCAGAACCTTACATGATCCTGGGGTATCTGTTACCATGGGGCGTTTTAGAGGAAGCAAGCGTACTCACACATGTGTACACGTGGACATGCACACGCACACTCTGGTTTGTGAGTTTCACCAGCGTGGCTCACTGGAGTAGGGGCACCTGCAGTATCCTCAGAGAGGGACAGTGAATGTGACCTAGAGCTTACCTGCCTAGCACACAGGGCTACCTAACCCTGTCTCTGCTCCTCACCTAGGTGCTGGCAGACGCCGTCTCTCGCCTGGTCCTGGGTAAGTTCAGTGATCTGACGGACAACTTCTCCTCGCCACATGCTCGCAGGAAAGTGCTGGCCGGAGTCGTCATGACCACAGGTAAACATGTGGGTGGGACGGACCCTGCCTATGTCGGGCCCATGAAGGCAGCCGCCAGCCCGCAGAGCCAAAACGTGGCCGGAGTGTGGGTGCAGTGCATTGTGTGCAGGTGTGGGTATGTCTGGGAACGAGTATGAGCAAGTGCAGTGTGTGCTGATGTGGGTGTGTCTGGGACTGAGTGTGTGCAAGTACATTGTGTGCAGGTGTGGGTGTGTCTGGGACTAAGTGTGTGCAAGTACATTGTGTGCAGGTGTGGGTGTGTCCGAGAGTGAGTGTGTACAAGTGCAGTGTGTGCTGGTATGGGTGTGTCTAGAAGCAAGTGTGTGCAAGTGCAGTGTGTACAGGTGTGGGTGTGTCTGGGAGCGAGTGTGGCTCTGCCTACAGGGACCTCCGCCTTGGGCCGGTCTGTGGCTCAAGAGCCCAGCTTTTGCAGAGCCCTGTTCTCCACATGCCCCCCTCCTCTGGAGAACCTGCTGTATCCCTGCTTGGGTCCCCTCATCCATGTCACCTGCTGGCCCTGCTGAGCTCCAGATGCTCCTAGGACTCTAGGCCTGCGGCATTGTCTCTGCTGGCCCAGCCTGATCAGTCCATGCTGCTTTGAGGGGTGTTAAGGTGGTAGCAGCCAGATGAGGTCAGCCCAGAGGTTCTCAGGGCAGAGGGGTTCCTGAATCCCTGTTCACCCCCAGTGAGGACAGTCAGCAGCATCTCAGCATAGCCCCAAGGGGGCCCGTGTCCCTGACCAGTGCATGGTTCTACCTTGGGCAGAGCTAGGGCCAAGCCTCCTACAGGGCTCTGAGCGCCCAGTGTGCACTGGCCAAACATTCTGGATGGCACAGGGGGAGGACCTTGGGGACCAGGGGGAAATTCTGGTGACCATGTTGCCTTCCCCCTGGATGCCACACCTCTGTCAGGCTACAGGGAGGTTGAGAGGCTTACGCCCTTGGTGTGGTACCTGGAGGTACGACAGCTGTGTTGTAGACAGTGTGTCCATGCCACTCCCTGGGTCTGGCCTGGTCTTGGGTGCATTTCCACTCTGCTGACAGCTGAGCCCCTCAGCCCCCCTTGGAGCAACTACCTTGCAAGGCTTGGGCCTTGTGTGAGGAGCGAGGGGCAGCCATGGCTCCTTTTGCCTAGTCGCTCAGCCACTGCCAGAGAGGCCCCTTCCCTGTCCGTGTGCTCAGAGCCCAAGTCTGCCCTTGGTGTGTGCACTGCCTTCAGGGGTGCAGTCTGTGCTGTCCCCAGGCAGTGGCTATATCAGCCTCCTAGTTTGCAGGAAGAAGAACGCACGTGTGCCTCCTGGAGGCAGGGTCCAGGAAGGGAGGTTCCCACCAGGCCTGGCACAGGGCCTGTCCCATGTGCTCTACTCCCAAATCCCCTGGTGAGTGTGGTCACTCAAGCCACTTCTTGGGCTCCGCGCTCTCACAGCACTGGGGCTGGAATCCTGGCCTTGCACTCCACGCAGGCACTGTCCCCGGCGGGTGTCAGCATTGCTGGGCCAGCGGTCTGCCTCTAGGTTGACACCGAGGTCCCATGGAGATCACACTGTGAAAGTGACAGGCCGCCTGTGAGGACCCTTCTCTTCTGCTCCCTTGGAACCTGGGGTAGTCCCTCTGGCCTCTTTAGTGCCTGGGTATTTGACTTCAAGATTAATTGCCAGGCAATGATTAGGCTGCGTGTGGTGCCATGTGTGGAACCCACGGCTGTGCACAGGCCAGGCAAGCGCTGCAATCTGACCCGCACCTCTGTTTCTGTCTCAGCGGGGACTTAGGTCTACAGATGTGCAGCACTGTGCCTGGCCAAGAGCTCACGTCACCAAGTGCCTCTTGTGTGCTGCTGGGGGAGTACTCAGGAAACATCCAGACTCTGCTCTGCAGAGTGAGGACATGGCCTTCTCGGGGCATGCAGGTCTTCAGGAGGCGGTATCTCGGGCACAGGCTTGTGAGTGAAACCCAGGCCGTGCGAGGACAAGCCCAATGCTTGGCCTGACCCCTGAACATCCTGGTGCTGCCAGCCAAGGCCAGACGGGAGTGTCATTGAGGGTCACTGATGTCCTCCTCCTGTCTCTCAGGCACAGACGTCAAGGACGCCAAGGTGATTAGCGTTTCAACAGGGACGAAGTGTATCAATGGCGAGTACATGAGTGACCGCGGGCTGGCACTGAACGATTGCCACGCAGAAATCATCTCCCGGAGGTCCCTGCTCAGGTTCCTCTATACTCAGCTGGAACTCTACCTGACGTGAGTCCAGAGGCCACAGCTGTCGGGAAGCTGGCTCTGTGCTGGCAACTGTGTCCCAGCCCCGGGAGGGCCCTAGTGCAGGGACCAGGTGACCATTGTGTGGCCATAGAGTCCAGGACTGCCTGAGACTGTGTGGGTTTGTTCTATGTGGTGTGGACACACATGGAGTGTCCTGAGCTGCCCATGGAGTGGCTGTTTTCTGGTCCCTGTGCCTGGCAGAGCTAATCCTTTTTTGGCAGCCTGGGGATTGAACCCCGGACTGTACACCCCAACCCCGGCCCTTTATGTTGGGACAGGGGCTTGCTACATTGCCTAGGCTACCCCTGAACGTGTTGTCCTCTGCCTCAGCCTCCCCAGTAGCTGGATTACAGGCGTGGGCCACCGCACATGTTGTCTGTATAGTGCCATTTACACCCGCATTTTGGCTCTGTAGTCACCCTGAGAAGGAGCAGCCACTCCTGGTTTGATGGCACATCCATTGCCAAGTGGGATTGTTAATTACCATAAACATGACAGAGTTCCAGGCCTGGCTTCCCTCTCCCCGCTGAAAATTCTGGCCTCTGACAATCATGCTAGACATGATACCGTAACTGTCCCAGCATCGACTCACCTGTCAGCTTTTCCTTGCAGTAGCAAAGAGGACCAGAAGAGATCCATCTTCCAGAGGTCGGAGCGAGGCGGCTTCCGGCTGAAGGACACCGTGCAGTTCCACCTGTACATCAGCACCTCACCCTGTGGTGACGCCAGGATCTTCTCGCCCCATGAGCCGGTGCTGGAAGGTACAGGCGGACCCTCAGGAAGCCTCCCTCGGGGTGAGAAGGGAGGAAAGGGGTGTCTGCCTGCGGCAATACTGTTGCTGCTTTTGTCTTAAATTTCAGCCTTGGGTGTGGGTCTAATAGGATTCACTATAGGGCATGGATTCTTGTTTCCTAATTAATAGTTTCATTAGAACATTTTAATGAGTGAAAATTCCTGGTTCTGAAAAAATGAAAGGGGAAAACGCCGATTCTGCTGACCTGAAACGAGAGTGTGAGGATGTTGGTTCAGAGTTGTGTGCACACTCAGTTTCTCCCAGCCCAGGTGGCTGTGTTCTCCTCATCTCTGCAGAGCTGTAGCTAAGGGAGAGGTGGGGCGGGTGCTGCATACAACCCCACCCGGGGTGTGTACCCATCTTACGCTCTGCGACGGGACGACGCCCACAGCCCTGCTCCCAAGCTGAAGCGTTGTTTACTCAAATAGAACATTGCTTATTTTCCTTGATAAAAACAATATACAAAACTTTAAAATACAAGAAAGAAAATTAAAATCACCTGTATCGTATAAGCCAGGACTAATTGCTAAGGATATTTTGCACTTCCTATGGATTTATTCTGCATCAGTCTACTTTTATTTTTTAAATAAAATATAACCAACACCTAAATATCCATTATTTAGGTGGGAGCTGGGAGAGCTCGGCGTCTGTCCTGTGTCCTTCCTCCGGCTCATTAGTGATAGAACTCTTTCGGCCACAGTGGCTCTTGCTCTCCCCAACCCTCAGAAGAGCACCCTCATGAATTTCATGTGACTTACGTCCTTTCTGCCATTTTATAAATTCATATTTTTGTGTGTGTATGTGCATACATATGCAGCACAAATGTGCATACACTTGGGTAAGGACACTATATATTCATAGGGTATTGTTAGATAAGCTTTTCCAGTCATTGAAACTAAATAGGTAGTTTGCTCCCTTAGGTTCTCAACACCCTATTTCTCTCTCAGAGCCTGCAGACAGACATCCGAATCGTAAAGCGAGGGGACAGCTACGCACAAAAATAGAGTCCGGGGAGGGGACGATCCCAGTGCGCTCCAACGCCAGCATCCAGACATGGGACGGCGTGCTACAGGGGGAGAGGCTTCTCACGATGTCCTGCAGTGACAAGATCGCCCGGTAAGGTCACAGCCTGGCGGCCACCTCACTGCCCCAAAGCTCCTTCCTGCCTAGCTCAAGGACATTCCTGTCACAGCTATTCCTGTCACAGCCGTTCACAGCCATGCTCCACAGTGTGCTCTTGCCAGGCCCCTGGGGAACTCCAGGGGGACAAAGAGACCTCGCATAGCAGGCTCCAGGCTTCCCACACTACCTCCTTCAGAAGTGGCATCTGGCCTAGACCAAAGTACAGAATGTGTACAGGATGTAACATTTAAAGCAAACACTGAAGGGTTTCCTTACCTGAGTTAGCATTGTGGGGGCCACACAGTGGGGCAATGTGAGCGTGTGACAGTCCTGCACCAGAGCACAGAGCGCCTCCTGCCCACCACCCCATTCTTGGGTTAGGCCTGGGCTGGGTGCGTAGCTCCAGCCTCTGATAGTGGGTATTGTGCGCCCATACACGGCACTCTCAGCCTGCATCCAGGGCAGGGCCTCCACGACCCATTTCTTCAGATCCTGCACCAATTGGAGGAGCTCTTCTTTGCTTTTGTATTTTAAGTGGCGTTTACTTGAAAAAGGAAGTTGTTGCATGAGCAAATGGTGGAAAATATAAAACTAAGTCCTCCCTCCTCTGGCTCCTCCAGCTCGAGAGGCTGTAGGGCGTTGTCAAGTGTGCTGGGAATCACACGCATGGATGCACAGTACCACTTCTCAGGGTCCAGGGGAGCACGACTCCCTTGTTGCCAAAAACTGTCCTCACACTGAAGTCCTAAGAGCCTCACGCTTGTGTCCTTTCAATTGTTTGCAAGCCTTTTGATTTCCTCTGAGGTGCCTTGTTGAGCTGGATTAGCTGTGCACTGCCAGCCCTTCTCTCCAAGCCCGGGGCCAGGCCCTGTTGCCCTTATCTGACATGCTTGGGGCCAGACATGTTTCAGATTTGGGAGATTTTTGGACTTTCAAATATTTGCATTCACTTTACCATTTCCTAACCTGAAGATCCTGAATCCAGATTTCTCCAGGATCTGAAACTCCTCAGAGATGCTCAGCTCGTCCTGCTCTTCTGCCTGCATTTAAGGGGCTGTGTGTGCATGCTTGGAAGTGCTCAGCAGTGACGTTAGGGGCTGTCAGTGTTTGTGTCGTTCCTCCTAGCAGCAGTGTGAGCTGTGAGGCCCCTCATTCCTCTTGTTTCTCCTCAGCCCTGTGCCTCTCTTCAGTGTTTCTGCTGGAGTTTATTGCTTCTGGTGTTGGTGGAGCCTCCAGGAGAGCTTGGGCTGCCTCCTCCACAAGGAACACTGGGTTTCCTTCAGCCCCCTTCTCTGGTAGCCTGACTGTCCTTAGATTTGCTCACCCTGGTCTGTGGTGGCGTGTCCTGAGGCTGGATCTAGGGGTACACACTTGGCTTTGCAGAGGGATAGCAGACTGCTCCCCAGAATGGCCACGCTCTTATCCCCACACCAGCTGTGTGCTCCGTGAGTGTACACCACGTTTTGTAAACAGTGTCCTGCAGTTTTAAGTTGCACTCCTCTTATTGCTGGGAATGCTGCATGTTTCTCCAGCTGTGTAGCAGCCTTCCATTGGTCGCCTTTTCTAGTGTGCCTGTTTTACATTGTTTGCTTTCTCTTTAGGCCGTGTGGCTTTGTGTTCACAGTGTGGAGTTGCTTTCATAGCTGGCATTACTATAATCCTTAAGTCCTGGAGAACTCCAAGTATCTAACCCTGGTGATTTCCCCATGGGGTGATCTTCTCCCCCTGTCAAGGATCATTTGACCCACATGTGAGTTTTTGTCTCTGGGTTGTCTGTTGTTTGAACACACTGCTAAGATTTAGATCCTGGATTACTCTTTGTTTCCAACTATAAGGAAATGCCTGAGGCACATTACTTTATAAAGAAAAGAAGTTGTGCAATGCAGTTTTGAAAGCTGTAACTCAAAAGAGCATGGTGCAGGATCTGATGAGGGCCACATCCTGCTGGGGAAGCAGAAGGCAGCCAGGCTGACATGGAGCCACTGAACCAGGACTGTGAGGGAAGGAGAGTGACCCCTGCTGGACACTGTGTCGAGGAGGTGAACCAGTGACAGGTGTTCTGTTGTAGCAGCCGTCTGCAGCTGGGATGCAGCCCACAGCACACCATGTAGAAGCTTGCTCCTCATCCACAGGGACCAGCTGGGAAGAGCTGCCTCCCCAGCTCTGTGATCCCCACTTAGGCAGGATCTCTGATAGGACAGAAAGCCTGGGTGTGAAGTAAAATAGGCAACTTTGACTGAACTACAATTTCTCATGTATTTACCAAAGCCGCATATGCTCAACTGAAAAGAGAAGCCATGCAGCTGGATCCAGAGAGCCTCACTGCTCGCAGGGCCTGGGTCCAACCATGTGAACGGAATGGACTGAATGTTACCGAAAGTAGAATCTAAAGAGCTCTTCGTGCCAGCAACAGGCTCCTCACTCTGTTGGATCTCAGCCCTCAGCCCACATAAACACAAAAATGCGTAGAAACATGCAGAACAGGGCAGAAATGATCAAAACGGATGCAGGAGTACTTGATGAGATCAAAGACGATATAACTAAATGACAGAGGAATTAATAAACAGATCGATGCATTTAATGAAGAGTAAATAGAAAATTAGAAAAGCTTACTAAAATGATTTACAACATAAATTATAAATATACAAAAACAAAAAGAACCCATGCAAATGTGCCAAATAATTCATGGAGATAAACAATTCTGTTTAATGTATGACAACCGAAGTGCTCACTGTGAAGTAAGGAGATGGATTTAACACACAGGACTAAATACTCAGAGAAACGTTAAAGAGTGGAAGGAAGATTGATCAACAGCTATCAGATGATGCAGAAGGACTAACTTAAGACTACTGGGAGTTGGAGAGAAGTCAGGACAGCACATGTAGAGTAAAACATCTGGTCACAAATATCATAGCAGAAAACTTTCCAAGTGTGGGGAAAGAATTCACCACACAGATAAATGAAGCATAGGAACTCATAATCAGGACCAGAGAAGACCTCTCCGTGACAGGTCATCATCAAAGTCCCAGAAGCCCTGCATTATGATAGAATCTTAAAAGCTGTTAGAGAAAAGCAAAAAATTGCTTATAAAGTTGAACCCATTAGAATTACAGCAGACTTCTCAGTGCAAAGTTTAAAGGCCAGAAGAGCATGGAAGGAGGGGTTTCAGGCCCTAAAAGGGGTTTCAGGCCCTAAAAGAAATAACTTTCAACCCAGATTAATATATATTGAAATACTGTCTTTCAAAATGATGGAGAAATAACAGTATTCCATGATAAAGAATACCTTAGGAGACATAGGAACACCAAACTAGCATTCCAGAAATTTCTCAAGGGTACCCCAGTTACGAGCAGTGAAGCCAGCATTACCAAAAAGTCTGATGGAATGCATCCATCAAGCAAGATGAGGAAACAAAAGGGGAAAATGATAGAATCAACAACAGAAAAACAATGCAATGTAGAGAAGTCATTATTACCTTGCAGTAATAACTCTTAATGCAGATGTCCTCTGCGCCCCAATCAAAAGTCACAAATTGGCAGATTGGGTCAAAACCAAAACTAAGTGATAGTGCTGCAGCCAAAAGACACATCTAATCCAAAAAGAAATTCATGGACTAAAAATCAAAAGGATGAAAAAGAATATGCACAAAGTAAGCAAGGATAGCAATCTTATTTTCACAGAGTAGACCTCAAGCTAAAATTGATCAGAAGGGGCAAAACAGATCAAAAGAGGTGCGTCTCAGTCTCCTGCTTTCACAAATAGATTAGCTGTATGGAGAATTACCCTGGAAATAGCAGATCTGAACCACACTTCCACATGCATGGGCAGTGTCCTACTACCTCAGGATACATGTTCTTAGCACACATGGGACTTCTTCCAGAACAGACGGTGTGGTAGCCCATAAAGGCCGCTAAGGTGATTACAAAAGAATGGAAATGACCATGTGTGTTATCAGATCATAGTGCAATTACGCAGACACATGGGACTTAAACAGTTCACTCTCAAATAGTCACTGGTCTTAGTAGGAAATCGAGGGAGAAATTAGCTAGTTCTGTGTCGGTCTGGATGGAGCTGGAGCCTGAGCCTGACACCGAAGCCCCTCTCAATGTTCCAGCAGAGCCTGGACCCCCTGAGGACGGTAGTCACAGAATTTACGGCCTCTGACAGATGCAGGTTTCAAGTTCATAGTTTACAGTGTGCCCAGGTGCCGAGTTCTGTTTAAAATTACTAGGCTTCTAATCTGCATAAGAAAAGGGCTCTGAGGCCTTTGGCCTTCAAATATTTCAACTTTGTCTCTAGACAGGAAAACTTTCTTGTAGTTTCCTTTTTGGAAGGTGAAAGGCCAGAGACCCTAGAACTGGACTTCTGAGCACATATTTCTCTTCTCAATATTGGAAACACTGGTGCTGGGATGGTCGGTGAATAGGGCAGGAGTCCTGACCCTCTTGGGATTAGTTGCTGGGGTGCAGGTTACACAGGGTACATGCAGCAGGGGGTTCTGAGGGCCTCATGGCAGGGATGCTCATGAGAACTGAGGGGTGGCAGCCATGGCCACAGCTGGCTGGGAGCCGTGTCCAGGAGAGTGTGGGAGTGGAATCATGGGCCCTGGGGAGCTGTTGGGGTGTGTGTGAAGGAGCACCTTGACTGGCCTGTGGGCCTGCAGGGAGATGCCAGCCACTATGCAGCAGGGACAGAGGGCAGGGTCTAGCAGTGACAGCAGCCGGAGGTCAGACCCTGGGTGCTATGGATTGGCTCAGGTGCTGAGATAGGAGGGGTGGAGGCCAGGTGACCCCAGCAGGTGGCCTTAGCAGCCCAGGTTCCGTCAGGCCTGTGTGGCTTCTGGTTCATTCTCCCAGCCACAACCACGTACAACAAAGTATGTATAGATAGAAAAATTTGTCTACAGTACGGCCAAATCAAGAAGGGTGACCTGTCTGACCACATGCAGAGGCACTGCATCTCAGAGTGGGTGAGTCTAAGCCAGAGGCACCAAC